CTTTCTTCTATCTATATGTTTGTAAAGTCGTAAAAGATCAAATTATTCATCAAACAATTTCAAAATGCATTTAACTGTTCAAAGTCTTTTACTTAATATATCAATTTAACCAACATAGAAATAAGAATCTCATTACTTAGCTGACAAAAAAAAGTCATTTTTCATTCAATTCCAACTTAATTGAAGGTAATTATGATAAACTAGTTTAAACAATATGTAATACAAGATTAGGAATGAGGTTATTAACAATTTTTCCCAATGTATTCATAAATGTAAAACCCTTTCTTTGGTTAATTAAGTATAACTGTTAGTAAAAAACTATTTTTTCACACATGAAAACAAGAAAATCATTTTGTATATCTACTTACCGAAATTTGGAAAGTATGGATAGTGTCATCCAAATGAAGAACATGCACTTGTATCATACGTAATCCTTTGCCTATGCACTGACCATCCATATTTGTGTATGTTCACTACTCCAACGTTGAACAGTAGAATACTGATTAAGTAAACATATGCGTCAGATAAGTCTATAAAATAAATATTATCATCAGATCAAAGCTTATTAACAATATATAAATTATAAGGATAAACGATTTGATATTTTTGTTGTTTATAGAAATATTTTTACCACTCTTACCATTAGTTAAAGTAAAAACTAAAATTTCAATACAGAAATGTTCAAACGTGTGTATTTTAGGAGTGGAAACTTTTTTCAATACCAGAAACAACAGACTAAGTAACATATGATAATATACATCATTTTCAAAATAAATAACTGAATTTAAAAGAAAATAATCTCTCATCCAAGAATACGGATGAAAAACACAATATTAATAAATTCTGATGATAAGGATTAAAACATTTTCATTTATTCCTTAAATCTAACTTAATATATTGAAACTTTAATTGAACTTTTTCAAGGAAAAGTTTGGAACAGATTGCCAGGCGAAACGTTGGATTTACTTCAAAATTCATACGCTGAGATTTTATAAATACATCCTTCCTATTCAATGTCTTAATTAAACTTGTTTTATCATTGCATCACATTACTTATGAAATCTTACAGTATCTGAGACAAATCATTTAAAAACGTATATTGCGGTAAGTTCAGAGTTTATTCATTAATAAATTATATTACCTGAATGTATATTAAATTGTAATAACTATGATAGTTATAAATAATATTTATGTATTAGAACACAATATTATTATATGAAGTATATTTTTTGTAGAATGATTTTTATCGCATAATTTGTCACGAAATGATTGGGATAAAAAATTTGAACATTTATTGAGTAAATTAATATATGTCAGGAATTTTATTCTATATTTGATTAACTCTAATTATTTGCATACGGATTAAACTATTAAAACAATGCATTCAATCCTCTATATTTCATTATTATTATTATTATTATTATAAATAACTTTTCGTGTGCTAAATGTATATACCAAGAAAAAGCAAAAGATTTAAATTGTTTATCACATCAACAGTTGTTTTTACTCACAAATTTATGGTATATTATTTAATTGTTTTTAGTTCTGAGAATAATTAAGTCTAAAATGCAATCAAGGATGGAGACAATTGTCATTGTTTAAAATAATGAAATGATTTTCTAATGATTTGTATTTATTTTTAATTTATATAAATTTGGGATGAAATTTATGTTGAAGCTGTTTGAAATGTATTTTTAATAGTTGAGATCATAAGTCACTTGAAGCCAGATCAATATGAAAAACCTGGAAACACTGGATGGCCGTTTCGTATTGCTGCGGATTTCCTCATCAGTGCACATCTATGATCCCGCCTCGTGAGATTCAAACCCAGGACCTATAAGTGCTTCGGGGTTTTCTGTGGTGGTCTAGCTTCAAATGACTCCTGATCTCAACTATTAAAATTACTATAATATCCACAAAACCCCTTCTGAAATTTATCTGTTAAAATCCACATAATAAAAACAAAAAGAAACTTATTCAATTGGTCAGAATATCAATAAGTAATTACATTCAAGTTTAATGTTTATAATATAAGTAATCAAGTAAAAGTTTGTAGTTTATGAACTAGATAAATCGCACTCATATAATATATTAGGTTCGCACCATTAGCACATAAGTAAAAAGTGTATATATATCTCAAATCATTGTCATAATACTGAGTGTATATAAACACCTCTTCAAAAAGTGATAAACTGCTCTGGTAGCCTGTTCATTTTCGTGGTGAAGATTTAATTTCCAGGTCAAGAAAAATACTTTCTGATGCTAAATAAACTCATATAAAGATACCTTTCCACTATTAACTCATATGAACTACAGAATATTTAACAAAGCGGAAATACTGCATTGCTGTTTCAATTTAGTTTCAGATTCCATAACACTGACCTACTATAATCTAATAATAAATCATTTGCCTAGAAATGCAGACCTTTTACTGAACAGCATATAAGTCACCGATACTATATGTTTTGCAGTACGGTTGTTAGATGTAGTGGCAAGCCCTAGTAGAAGTTTAATATGTTTAAAAAGTCCCTATTTGCTACGTTCATCGCCAAGGAAGCAAAAGAATGTGGCTAGAGTTGAAATTATGCTCCAGTTCTTCAGTGATTTCATCCTAACTTCATACGGATCCAAAGAGTTCACAACCACAACGTCAAGAGATAGGTAGTGTTGATTAAGCTGTATCACAACGGATATTACACGAAGGTGGACTGTGTCATTAACCATACATGAAAGCACTAGATGCATTAAAGATTGCTGAATAGTCTGTAGCGGTCGTTCAAAGAACCTGAACACAACATTAATCTACTGTCAATTAATAATATCTAATCTATAACCACTTCACGTTAAGTCCTCACTAGCTAACAAATGACAGAATACTGGTTGTAAGTTAGCCAATTCATCACATTTGTCTATTTTGTTTTCCTCGCATAATTATTACATTCCTATATCAAAACGTTCTCCCGTATCCAAAAACCTCGTACATTACAGACAGAGAGTAAGTATCAATTGCGAATACTCTTACATCAATACCATGAAAAAAATCAGCCACGAGAGATGTGAGGAAGTAAAATATAATAATACTAGAAGTCGTCATAGACATAAACGCAGTTTAGTGTGTATACTCATTCTATCCGTAAACATCAAGTACACAATAAATTTTTTAAGAACTATAAGGTTTTCAATACAATCAAGTGTTCAGTTTAACTAAGTGGTTGATAAGTACATTCCATTTATTGCTGTTTTCGTGATACAAGTATACGCCAAACTTCAATTAGGTTGCTTCGTTTGTAATCAATTCATTATCAAGCTGATAAGGAATTTTGGGAAGACTTTGGAGATCGGCTAAAAGTTATGGTGATTAATATAATCTGAAATCATCCATAGTTAATCAATATATGGCATTAAAAAATTCAAGTGCTTAGGTCTTACTCATAGACCGTAATATAACACTGACTTTATTCCGAATCCTGGTAGTTATTTGCACTAAGTTCCTAAACCGCTTCTTTACTCAATCTCGTTTCTTTTCTTTGTGAAATTCCAATTACATAAATGCAAGGACAAGTTGACATGTCTTCTTTTACGAATACAAAGTAAACTAACCAAAATATTGGTCATAAAGCATAGGAAGTATTCTTAACTTATATTTCCTGAGTGTACTGTGTACACCAAACCATCAGGTTGCGCATTAATCGTATTTTTTCCATCGTATTTACTAACGTGAAAAAGTTTTAAATATTGTGAGCGGGAAGAATCTGAAAAAGATTTTTTCCAGTTCAAAATGAGGGATAGAGAAACTCGAAATAATTCAATAAATCATTTTTAAGGGAGAAAAACAATTTTGTAATTGACACTGGCGTTCAGTTTGTATGATGCAAAAACATATTTCACACAGAGCAAAGGAAAAGGAGGCAAGAGCCAGAAAAAAGAGCTACATAACATACGACTAAACAAATACGCTAAAGTGTTAAAAAAGGGGAATTTTGATGAAATACAACTAACACTATCATGTTACAGATTAAAATAGAAACAAATTTGTTCACATAAAGTATTAACAAAGAAATTAATAAAAATGGATAATATATTTCGATTCATATGGTTAAGAAGACTTTAAAAATTACTGTCCTTCTTTTTTTATTAATTCGCTTTCTCCTCATAAATGAACTCAAACAAACATTTCTAGAGATTCTTTCTTAAAAGAATAAGCCTTGATCCTACCAAGAATTTCCCACATACTGACTGAATATTCAACTAAATGATTTTACAAACCAAGTTTTACTGAAGTTTCATTGCAATCCATTAACTGCTTATTTGTACCAAAACGTGCAGTTTGACATAAACACTGGAATATCACAAGAGGGACTACGATATGTAATTATTATAATAAAACGAGACTTATGGAACACAGGCAGTTACTAGCGAAACATTAACGGCGTTTTTAAATAACGAGCATTTTAATATTCTTCAAATTTCCTTTGCCAATTTAAATTTTACCAATTAGTCTTTAATTTTGAGCACGACATGATTTTTTAGTAAAGAAAAACGTCGAACTGCAACTACATGAATAAGCAAAATATGTCGTTAAACTACTGTTGGTATAAAATCTATCTTATCTAAAGGAAGATGGTGTGATTCTAATCAACGTTTTCATTTCTTTTGTGAGATTAAACATGTTAATTTAGTCATGTACCATAAGTGACACCATTTCATGGCTATCATTTAGTCTACTTAAGTTTATTAAACAGTTATCGTGGATAAAACCCTCCATTTATGGTATATTTTAGTTTTTGGTCCCAAGAGAGATACTGTTACATACTCTACTCGATTACGTAAATACGGTATACAACTACTGGCACCCAAATGCGTGGAACTCCACGATCGCAAATTATAAGACGGAAAGCTTTATTAACTCGGCAGTAAACATTATTATTCAGTTTCAGTATTACGCTCATCAACAAACTGATGTAAGAAGTCTATCAATTATCTGAGTATATTTCATGTTTTATATGAAAACGTTAGAAGGATCTTCTAAAATGCATCTTTGCAGAGGGTGTTTCCAGATTTAAACAATATTCATTACTTCTGATGGTACTTTGCATTTAAATAATAGGGTTATCATTAACTTTTTATCAGAAAAACTGGTAAGTGTAGATATCCCTATTGGATATCTGGTAATTGCAAAAGAGTAATTTCTGACAAGAGGTACATGTTAGAATACAGAGGTGAATAATGTTTGTCCAGTAGCTGTGCCGGAAATTCATCTGCCGACGGGAATGTTACCTCTGATTTTAGTGACGATCATTACACAACACTATTGAGTGTTGAGTCATGTTTTAATGTAAATAGTGTGAATCGATTGTTGGTAATTTTCTCTTCAATTAGTGTAGCGAGTTTTAACGAACCCACCAAATCCTGATTACATTGTACATGAACTGAGAAAATTAGTCGGTTGCAACCGGTGTCTATAGTATTAATCACTGAATAGATTTCATGCTTTGTTGTAGACTCTGTTGATACTTGGTCAAACAGCATCCAGTAAAACATTTTGTCAAATGCTTTCATACATAACTGTTTTACTACGCAACAATAAAACGTTTTTTTAACAACCATTAATCTTGTCCATGTCAAACAAAGAGGAAGTAAGCATACTGATACCGCACTACAAATGTGGCACTTATTCTGCTACAAAAGAAGCACAAGCAAAAATATGAAAAAGTTCTTTACCCTTGAAAATGGAATGACGATGATCAATATCAATTACGCTCAATCAAGAAAGTGATCTTGGGACATCTATGGGTCTTAGTTTATGAATGTTAACAAAACCATAATTTACATTATAGATGCTAAGTGTGTAATTGTACTGTTGTTTCAAGGATTATAAACTTTTTGAGGACAAACATAAGTATACTATAATCCCATTTTACCCTAAAAGCTAATGAACTACCATCTAATACAGTTTCAAATAAAAGTTAGATGAACTTTCGGAAGAAGCCATGGATAAGGTATAGGCTTATTAAACACTACTTTAAGTGTTGCAGATACAGTGTTTATAGAGATCGGCAAAAGATTGGTACATCACCTTAAAGCAATACTGAGAATCATCTTAGTCTTCAAAATCAGAGGCTATTGCCACAAAACACTTCTCTACTACGATTTTCAGTCTAATATATGTGTTATTTGACTAAAAACCTTCAAAAACATGACTTCTGAAATGCATGTAGGTGTGCTTGGTATGATCATAAGTAATAATTCGTGAAAACAACAAAACCACCTTGGCTTAAACAAATCATACACGCAAACTCCTAATTAAATGTGCGATTTGTTTCATACGCTACCATACAACCGTCTTTTGAAAAATATACTGTAGCAGTTACAGTGAATGAAATAGGCCAAAACGCGAGTTTAAAGTGCCCAAGCATTCTACAGCTCTTGGATTATGTCAGAATGAGAACGAAAGAATCTGATTCCGAAAACAAACAAAAGCAAATAATATTTTACTCTAAAACTCACCTGGATATTATTTGTATAATAGCAAAATTGGGCTTTACTTACGTTATAAAATTCTGGAACTCATCTCAACATAATACCCAACTAAAAACCGCCAATAGATGGCGTATCTTTCCTAAAAATATATCGTTAAAATGTATAGTCTTTAAAAATCGGTGGGCGTTATTTTGCTGGGATTTCTGATAGATGGCTTTATCAGTAATATTTCATAATACGTTTCATCTCACATTCAAGTGAAGTGAAACAGTTTCTACGTCTACCATTACTGCGGTGTAAAAAAAATTGTTGACGAAACGAAGAAGAAAAGTGTGTCAGACAAGGGTTTTTATGATTCAAGTAATAATACATGAATATATGTAGTGATTTAATGTATCATGTCCAAACGAAGTGGGATTTAGATATATCACAGATTGGAAGACAAAAAGAAACGTCGATTATGATCTGACTATTACAGGCGTAACACAATTCTAAAAGAAGATGTAATGTAATAAAAAGAGTTTCGAGTTAAAGTTAGCCACATTTATATCTCAAAAATACACTCCTTCAATATCCTCTAAAAACAATTACATATATCTGGAACCTCGCTCACTTCTGACCCACCAGTATTCAAAAATTAAAAAACTTTTTGTCGATGGTCACCAAAAGTGATATTTAAAAAAAGAAAAAAATACTCATAATTTTAAGAACGTGAGAAAAAATGTGTGTTTACTTTCAATTGATATTAGTTTCCACTAAGACCGCGTTCTCTATAAACGATACGTGATCAGCTGCAATTCTTGTTTAAACCTATTTCGTATTGGTCAAAACTATTTTCATTGATTTCGTATTGAATTATAATACATTCATTTAGAGACTGAGTACAGTTTTAGTAAAACTTTAGTGAATTATAAAATAGTAACATGTTAGGATTGAATGATGTTGAGTGATTAAATCATCGATTACCTTTTTAGAGTGTAGGTTCATGAATAAAAGTAACTTAATTTTTAACAGCGCACCGATTAATACGTTGTTTAAAAGTTTGTTCAAAAATGAGGTGAGTTAATGGTGTATTTAAACAAAACGTTCATTTGTTTTGCTTCAAGTTTTAGATAAAGTATTATTCTAAATCTACCGGCGTGAAGATTACCAGCCTGTGTGATAAAATGAAATGCGAAACGCTTATGAAAAAAGGTCAGGCTTTATGATATTCTTTGTATATGACAATGTAGTCAAGTGTTCATTATTATAAACTCAGTTGAGAAGATAATAGTAAACTCCAAATGCCCCAATAAACACCTTCTGTCGTTGCCAAGATATTCAGACTTTGCTATGACATGTTTATAATGTCTAATTACTGAGGTCAAATTGTCACATTTCCGTGGAATCTGACTTATGCCAACTTCGGTTTAAAAGGTCAGAAAATCATTTGAAGAATTGTAGAAAACTGCTTCCTCCTCTGTAATTCGTTTATTAAAAAATAAATAGATATGTTCAATCTACATCATTTTTATTGTTCTTTCTTCCGAAATAATCACCACTTTGTAGTAAAATGGATGTCGTTAGTTTGACTTACCACTAGACAGATATTCAGTAAGTCAAACGATCCTATTATGAAAATAGAGATTACAAGTGTAATTGCTATTGATTTGTTGTTCCACGATATTTTTCACCGAAAAGCGTTTCACACACAAAATATCAGATATTATTGATCACGATGGAGTAGACACTATCGAAATTTCAACTGGTTTAGCAGCAATACTGTTGTAGCGGTAAATAAATCCCCAAAATAAATAGCTCTGTAGGTTTTCGACATTGGATGCTGACCATATTAGTTTTAATGGACTCACTTAGCTGAAGGCGCTCGGTCATGCATTCGCAACAGATCACGAGGGGGAAAGCCATGCTCAACGGCCCCTGAAATCGCTAGCCAGATTAGATCAGAAGACCCTCGATATACTGATGGCCTATCAAATATATCTTCGAACCTCCTTGCTTCTGTCTTTTGGTTTCACTTGGTGAGTACGATTCATATTTGGTGTTGCTGTTTAATGAGCTGTCAAACTCCGAATACCCGGGGCATCTTCACTATGAGCATTATGTTAGTGCGCTGCATTCGCTGGTTTACTCTGTCGACAAAACATTGGAAATCACAAGAAATTTAACATATGTCTCTTTTGTCGCTGAAACATTGCAGATATAGGGAGTCAGTATATTTAGGACTTGTGACGAGCTCACTTGAATGTTCTTGCGAAACCAAAAGTGCCCTCTTCAAGATATTTGTCCTAAAAATCACGCTAAGAAAAAGATTGGATTGAATGTTAGGCGGTTAATATTCCACTTGATTTTCCAACTCTAACAACTGTGATAAACTGTTTCGTGTCAAATAACACAGAAAAATAAGTGTTTTAGAAGTCATTCGACTTCTCCGCTAACCTTAATTTCGGCGTGGTCAGCCAAAAATCAACGCCAGATCACGGTATACTTCGACTTAAAGGGCTTATCATGGTTTATAAAAAGAATACTCTGACAAAAATATCAACCGAAAAAACCATTTAGATCATTTAACCTTTGCTCTTAGTCTTTACAGAAATAAACTTTGACACGCCGTAGAGGGAGCTGAAATTCTTCGACAGCCAGGAAGTCAGTAATTTTTCTGAAAACAGGGGGAACAATTGTTATACTAGTGCGGCATCCCTGAATGAAGTGAAAGGTCAGGAGAATCATTCAACAGTCACACTGAAACTATTCAAAGAACCAAACATTTTCTCAAAAGACTGGAAATTCATCAGCCGGGTTCTTTAAAATATCCCTCATTACAAAGAAAGAATAGTTAACAATGAATGTTGTCCGTTACTACGGACTCACGGACAGTAGTAGCTGGGATTACCATGATTAGGTTCATGACATGCTGTGGTGCGTCGTCTAGAAATTACTGGACAAAGACCTAATCATCCTTATAATGCACCTGAACGTTGAAGTAGTGAAAGAAATGCTCTAGTATTCAGGGCCCGTGTGACTACGTGGATTTAGGGAAAAGAATACGAATGCTAACAGACTTGTGAATCCACATCTTTTCAAAATGGTCATACGTAATGCCGTTTTCTCTTGAAAAATGCATACTAAGTTAAACTGATTTCACTGAACTAGGATGCAGAAAGTCATATGAATCACATCCATATGAATGACGAACTTGGAAGGTCCATCGAAGTAATAAGAACTTTGAGGTGAACATGGGTTCATCATTTTCTGATAGACAAGGCAGAGCTTAAGGCATTGGACAGCTGAAAAAACAACACAATTAAGTCTTCTTTGGAGTTGCTAACGGTCCCAGATAATTCGAGATAGCTCTGTCATAAGTTCCAAGCATTTCAATGTCGACTAGAACAGCTCAGAAGAAATGAAAGAAAGAATGGCTTTAGTTTACCAGGAACCAACGGGCAGCAACAAGTAGAGGAACAAACAATGAATTATTGTGGATAGTCTCTAAGCGCGCGAGAACTACAGAGGCGGCATACTACTCGCAGTACCAGACCAAGTTCTTAGATGTATTATTGAATTGACCTCCATATTTAAGAAAATTTGCAAAATACAGAAAACGACTTGGTGACGATTGGGTAACTTGGACTGGCCAAACAACTTGATTCTGCTATCATGACGATATCGAGTGTAGTAGGCCTCAAGAGTTGCGACGAAAAAAGCCATACCCCAAATACAACTCAGTAAGCAGCGAGCGAATCCCATTTGATGGAAGGGCTGTAGAATTATAATTATTCACAAACATCTTATGGATATATAAGTGTTTTGAAGAAACCATTTTGTGTTTCGTCAAAAATGCAATAATACACAAGTTTCAATAGTCTCAGCATTATATTTGCCATATTCGAAAAAGAGAGTAATAATAATTGAATAATAATAAATCAGGTTATGTGTAATTGAGAAGAATATTGAATTGACTTTAAATAAAGAGAGGGAGAGATTGAGGAAATAAAAATAAAGGAGACGTGAAATACGCAAACAGTTTAATATGCGTGTTTATGAACACAGAACAAGAATAAACGACTATGTATGTACTGTCAAATTAGTAACAAAAATAAAATAGAAAATGAGTAACTAAAAATCACATT